AAAAGGGTGAGATCACTAGGTGTGGCTTTCTTCTGATGCTGGAAAAGCTAAATAATAGTTTCACGTGCATTTTCTTTCATATTATGTACTTAGAGCAAGCTTCAAAAGATACTGTGATATAGTGTAAGGATTTCCTTGTTCCTAAATGTAGGCCCCTTCCACACAGCTGAATAAAAACCCACATTATCTGCTTTGAACTGGAATATATGGCAGTGTGGATTCAGATAACTCAGTTCAAAGCAAATATTGTGGGTTATTCTGCCTTGATATTCTAGGTTATATGGCTGTGTGGAAAGGCCTGTAGTCTAACCAACTAGTACTATGTATTCCACATAGGTAGTGCCCTAGTGTGAATTTGGCTCACTTGAGAGTAAGACCCGTTGATTTTCAATTATGAGTGGAGGTGCATAATATTCTCCTGTGGATGTGACAAGCTAATAAAATGAACCAGGTGAAGATTTGTCACACCACTGCTGAGCACTTATCGAGTGTAGAAAAATGCATTCAGGGTAGGAATGGGCAACACTTTATGTATCATTTAGGTAGAGTAGCACTTTGTATAGACCTACTGTTCATACCCACTAAGAATGACTATATGAAGGAATTGTTATTACAGTTGCTATCTGACTTTGTTCATTTATCAAGTAAGCAAATCTTTGGCTGATGTTCATGGTAATTAACTATTCATTACCCCCCCCCCCTCCAATTATACAGATAGCATGCTATCTGACTAACACGTTCCCCATATGGATGCCAAATGTGCAAAATGTCTCGTTGCTTTTGTTTTCTGTATGTTTTATTTTGAGAGGGAAATATGGAAATACAGGAAGCATTCTGTGTTTCAAGTGCTCCTCCAAGTACGTCATCAGGCATCCCTTTTAATACTAAACTGCTAAATCTCTTAATGACACTGTTTCTGTTGAAACTATTTAAAAAACTAAGCCGAATGTAGGAAATGCAGCAGCTACTGATAAATTTCAAAATAAAAATTAAGATACCAATAAAATTACATTAATTGAGGCATCAGTAGGTTAAATGTTTTTGAATATTTACATAAAACTGTAATTTAAGATAAAATTATCAAACTCCGATTGAACCATTATTCTAACCTTCTTCCGTGTTAATGTCCATATGTATCCTTCCAATAATAATAGAGTAAAATAATAAACGGAATAAAAATAATAGAGTAAAATAATGGAAATGTAATAATCACAGTAATAATAGAGTAAAATAATGGAAATGTAATAATCACAGTAATAATAGAGTAAAATAATAAATGGAATAATAATAAATGGAGTAAAATAATTAATCTAATAAATATAACAATAACAGAGTAAAATAATAAATAACTTTGACTTGAGTGTAAGCCAAGGGGGTGCTTTTTCAGCCTAGAAAAGGGCTGAAAACTCGGCTTTTGCTTGAGTATATACAGTATCTCACATTTTGGTTGACCTGGAGACATAGATAGAGGAGCATATTGGACAGGTGTCCTTGACTCTCTCTATATAATGTTAATTATGCCCATTCAATTGATGTCAGGTCTGCTGTGATCTGTAGTTTACTCTCTCTCTCTCTCTTGTAGTTAAATATTCAGAAGCCTTTATTTAGTTCAATCTATAACTCAGTGGAAAACTTACATCTGCGTCGGATAATTATTTCTTTCCACTGCTTATCCCATTTACTGTAGTTAATGATAATATGGAGATGGGGGCCTATATCATATTTAATTTAAAAACGATTATAGTAGTGCATATTTGATCAATTAGACAGATCATTAAAATTTAATATGCGCATTTAATAAAAGTGGTCCTTCCCCTTAGAAACAGAAGTTATCACTTGTAAGTAGTTAACTGTTCTTTTCTGAAATTGCACTTACAAAAATTAAGTGCATATATCCTTTTTTAAAAAACCACAATTCGCCTTTTTCATTATTTGTTTTATCCTTCATTAAATGAAACAGGGCTCTTTTTATGGAGATAGTCCAACAACAGTTCCACACTTCATTCATCACAAAAGACTAACAGTGTGGTAGTGAATTAAGAATGGTTCAGTAGGGCTATTCACTCAAAGGCTGCTTAGTTTTGGATGGCATGCGGGAGGGTCAAGCTTCCGGATTTCTGTTTACTCAGTGAAAACAATTTGAATTGATCTGTGTTTTGTCTGGGCAAAGAATAAGAAAGAACTTTAACCTTAAACATGAAAGGCCTATGTTGTAAGCTTTGGCATTCAGCTGTGTCAGATGGAGAGCAGGGCCGTTGGTTCTATGGATAGCAATTGTGCCATGCTATTTTCTCTTTCCGTGACATGGCAGAGGGTGGGAGAACGTCCACCCCAATAGGTTTTTTCTTTCTTTCTCAAAAGCATATCAGGCAGATAATGGTGTCTGTGAAAGCCTGGAAAGATTCTTTGATTAGTAATAAATCCCAATTTCTCTTGAGCAAGGGAGTAGGTAACCAGGCATCTTCCATACTTTTGAGACTATAAATACCATAAACTCTAGCTCTCGTTTATTATTATTTATTATTATTTATGATTTAATTCTGTTCAATATTGCTTATTACATCCAGTGATATATTAAAATGTGGCCAATTGTCAGGGATTGTGGGATATATATAATATTATTATTTATATCCCGCTTTATCTCCCCATAGAGAGACTCAAAGCAGCTAACAATCAAAACATTACAACTAAAAAAAATACAAATATACAATAATAAAACACTATATTATTATATGTCATCAATAGTATTATATTAAACATATTTGTATTATTATATTACAACATTATATATTATTATATTGTATTATTATTATATTGTATTATAATATACACACTACTGGAGAAATTATACTGTTTAGCTGATATTGCACCACTTGACATCCATCAGGAAGTAGCAGCCAATAATGAAAGGACCAAGGTCCAAGGTAGTGACACCTCGTCCCATTCTCTGGTCAGATATCAGCCAGCATGCCAATGGTTCAAATCAAGAAACAGCTTCCTAAGATCGAGAGAGATACTCACAGGAACATCTCAGCTAGTGAGAATCCAAAAGTGGCAGGTTACAACCCAGCACCTTAATCAGTGGCTGAGACCAGATGAGAAACTCCCTCCTGGGCACACAGAAGACTGGACAACCTGGAAGGCGCTGAACTGGCTGTGGTGAGGCACCATGAGATGCAGAGCTAACCTTAAGAAATGGGGCTACAAAGTGGAGTTCACGACATGCGAGTGTGGAGAAGAGCAAACCACAGACTACCTACTACCTGAGCCCTGCCACATGCAGAATGGAGGACCTTCTCACAGTGACACCATAGGCACTCCAAGTGACCAGCTTCTGGTCAAAGGACATTTAGCAAAGTATATTGAAAGCACCAGGTTATATATTCCTTTCTGCTACAGGATTTTTGAAACATTTACAAATTGAGAATGGATAAAATAGGGTGCCAGACACACATCTAATAGGTACCATATTTTTCTTACTTTTTTTCAAATTGTCAATCTGGTCTTTCTAGCCTAGAAAATTCCCCAGAGAACTAAACTTCAGACTTGGTCATGATGTACAACAGAAGTTGAAAAAAATGGCACTGTGTAGTAATTGTTCTACAGAAAGGCTGGGAATATGTTTTGGATGAGAGACCTTGGCTGATAAGAGGATGTGCTGGTGCATAATCTGGCAGTTTAGCAAATAACAGGGAAAAGCCAGGCAAGATAAGAGATGGAATGCATGTGCAACATACAGCAGGTTAGACTTTCCACTGGTTTACAGAATCAAATAAAAAGAGTTGAAACATTTGTCTTCATCTCAGAACAATGTATAAAAACTCAACTGGGGATAGATTGGACCTAGTCCTGGTTGTCTTTGCATCTCCCTTTTTCGCTTCTGAAAACCTGATGGGGGTGAAATAAAGGTTGGCTACATTGTTAGCTAGCAACATCTGTGAATTAATTAATGCAGTGTTTAAGTAGCTGGACAGGAAGAGATTAATAGGAAATTGCAGTAACATAATATGTAACCTAATTATGCTTTATCTCTTTATGTAGTCTTACTAGTTTATTTCTATGCAAATACTTTTGTAGCTCAGCAACCAGGGGCTGATGGGCTCACTGCTGATTCAGAAATGATTGTGGGGTTTCCTGGGATTCAAAATGATGCCGATTCAGGACAAGTTCAAAGTTTGAAGATTCAGGCCAGGAAAATGAAATTGACTCAGACAGTGCTGAGCTCCAATGTGAGTTACAGGAGCCAGAAACAACATCATTAGATAAGGAGTCGAGTGAAGAATTTAGTGAAACGGAAAACTCTAAAGGGAAAGCACCTGGTGTTATGGAGATAAGGAAAAGTCTTCGTTTGCAGATCAGAGCGGAGAATTGGCCCCATAGGTCAGAGAGATTATGTGGGAAAGACATAGAGAAAATTTGTGGGAAACGATATAGCTTCATGACTGTTTATTAACAGCCAGTGTTTACATTAAAGTCAGTTCAGGCAATGTTGGCTTTTGAGTCTCTGGTCAAGTCAAGTCTTGGATTCAATCATCATGGAAGTTTTCTATATTCTTGTTTTATGATTCTTGCTCAAGTTTTTCTAAGTATACCTTTTGTTTACGGGTTTATGCTGTCCTTGTGATTTTTGGCTATTCCTGGACTGTATTACTTTGGGATTTCTATGACACATTTGGATTGCTGTGTGGTTATCATCTATTGCTGAACCTTTTTTGGATTATTCCTCTCCTTTCTTTATTCCTGCTTTTTCCATATATTTTACATTTTTACAATAAACTGTATGTTTATACGCTGGACTCTTGTGTGGTGCTGTGGTCATAGGTGGCTCCAAGCCTGCAACAAATACATATATTGGGTGCATTGCTCACTAACAAGGTTTTGACATGGGAAATGGAGGGTAAGAAAGTATAGTAAATCCTACTTCTGCATTGTGTCAATTACTGTACAACCTGATTTAAGACAGAATGACGCTGACTTTAATTTTGTTTTTTTCTCCCCAGTTGGCCTGTTGTTGTGGCACTGCTGCCTGTTCGCTTTGCTGCCAGTGTTGCCCAAAGATAAAGCAATCAACCAGCACTCGCTTTATGTATGCCCTGTACTTCATCTTGGTGACTCTCATCTGTTGTGTCATGATGTCAGAGACAGTAGCAAAAGAAATGAAAGAACATGTAAGTAAGTGGGTTTTGATGGAAAGAAAAGGGAGAGGCTAATACCAGTTCTAAAATGGAAAGAGTGTGGCGTGTATAACTTGATGGTTACTCCCAGTATAAAATGCCATATGTAATGAGGCCTGACTGGTAATGAAAAGTTTGGAAGGAGAGAACTGTGGATACTAACTTACTATACTAACTTACTAGACACCTGTTGTTTGCATGATTATACATTATATCATTTAATCTTCAGTGCCCTTTTATATTTCCACTAAAATGTGCATTAAACTTATCAGGATTTTTGAACAACCCAAAACATTACTTGGTTCAGTAACGCCAAATGTTTCATCCCGTGTTTTGTTTTGAATATGAGGAGTAGGAAGAGACAGTATAAAATGTAATTGTTTTTCCAGTGGCAAGAAATCATTTCTCCCTGAAACTTTAGTATTTATCATAACTGAGGAAAGCATAAAAGATTCAAGCAGTTCCTAGTCTGAGCTGTTGCCTCCTTTCTATTCCTTCTATAACTCAGATTTCAGGATAGTGGATATTCAGGAGACTGTGTTGGGATTTGTCATTAAGTTCATTTAAAAGCCATTATCAGTCTTAAACAGAGGTGAAGTGAATGCAGACTTCTTTTCTCACTTCTTTTTCACCCCCTCCTTATGTTGTTACATCTGCTCTTCCCATTCATTCAGTTAGAAAATGAACACACTATTGTATGTTTGCCAGTTGCAGACTTCTCTGACACATTCATTGCGCTTCTGAAGGGGCGATGTATCATGGAGAACAATCTCCAGTCTTTAGACAATACCATTGTACAAATACTAGAGTGACACTGTTTCTCTCTGTTGTCTGGAGACAAGGCTCACGGATACGGTTGTTAACCGGTAAGATTAAATTATGCCATGCAGCTGGTGATGAGGCAGCCCTTGCACAAAATAAAATATCCAAAAGCATTTCAGAAGTTCTGCTTTCTGGCATCTGTTAGTTACAGTAGAAACAAATATTATCACAGTTGTGTAGAAAAGAGAGACAGAACTGGCCTGTCTACTGAAGCAGCCCCATTTGTAGATTGGTAATGAAACAGCATATGATCCAAAATCTATGCTCCAGAATCTTGCTTTCATCTTGTGCAGCATAGTCACATGGGTCTCACAAGTCGTGGACTGGACCTGAACAGGCTTAGAGCTGAAGACACCTTTGGGATTGTCTAAAATGCTTCCATTTGAGTCTTTAACATAGAGCTGCCTGAAAAATCTCCCTCTGTTGATCTTGTTTGGACAGATTTCTCTTGGCTCTTGTTGCAGTATAAATTATGTTTCTTTTGGAACTGTAGTAATGCTTAAAACACCAATGGATTTGAAAAAGAGATCCTGAAACTCCACATCATTTTCTCAGAGCAAGCAATATTTACATACAACCCTTAACTTTAGCCTTCTATAGGTCTGTAGTAAAGACAATCATTCCATCACTGTGGGCACTTCTACACAGCCCTGTAACCCAGAATATCAAGGCAGATAATCTACAATATCTGCTTTGAACTGGATTATCTGCGTCCACATTACCATATAATCCAGTTCAATGTGGATTTTATATAGCTGTGTGGAACAAGTCTGTGAATGTGGAGCTAAAGCAGAAAAGAAAAGCAGAGAGAGTGGGAAAGGGGTGGAAGAACGGCGTTAACACTTTCAGTTGTTACCCCAATTGCTAAAGAGTTCAGCTCCATCCACAGCCCCACAAGAGGAATCTTCCAAGCCACTTGGTCAATCTTTATATCTGAAAATGCTTAAGTTAAGCAGTAGCCATTTCATACTTTTTCTTGATACTTGTTTTGGCAAAATTAATAAACGTTTTCCAGACATTATGAAAACGAGCATGCAAGAGTCTACTTTCTTAACTTCCTTAGCTGCTAACATTGGCCGAGACATCAGAAAATTATATTTGCTCTTATGTTGCCAATGAGAATTCTATTCATCAGCTTTTTATTCTTGTTTTCAAATTACTGCCAATAAGTCTTTAGCAGCAATTAAAGTTTGCTTTTTAATTTTATTCACAAAGGTCAAAATCCAGATTTTTCTCCTTAGACGCATACATTGATCTTGTATAAGCCCTGTGGAAGTTTTGGACACCTGCTGCTTGCACCTGGGCTGCTCTTCTTGCTATGCATCAGATGGCTTTTACAACTTTCTTCGGTTTCATAAATAATTTCCTATACCTGCTGGTCGAGGGGGAAAAATAGCTGCTTCAACATTATCTAGAAAATTTCTGAGCTGAATTGGAATGTCAGCTTGGCTATTTTTGGTCCTAATTAGACCGTGACCTTTCAGCCTAGTTACACTACACTAGCTCTATACTCACAGACTTCTTTCTTTGTTTTTTTGGGCTGTAGCCAAAGTTTGGATCTGCAGGACTAAGCAAAGCAAAGTATTTTCCATGCCTTGGCAAAGTTACATTTTCTTCCTGTCAGACATAGTCAACAGCTTTTATGCTTCCTTTATCCACAGCCAAACTAAGTAAAAATTGGTTCTATTAGTATTTTTCTCTGTGAACTGGGTTGAGCCTTGGAAAATCCTCTATTAAGTCTCAGATTGTTTGCTCCATTCATAGACAAAAAAAGGTGTCTTAATGTTCTTCTCATTGGTTACCAAAATATGGTTAGCCCATGTCTGTGGGGCTACAGAGAAGCCTTTATTTTATTGCAAATGCTTGTATTTGTATATGCAATGTGTCTATTTACAGGCTGTCCTAGCTGTGAGTGGGTATCTGTCTGCCTTTATAGGCAGTACAGCCCAAGGATATAGGCTTAAGTCACATAAATTGCTTTGTGGGACGTGTTTTCTGATCGCAGCTGCACATTACTGTGTGGCTGAGCATGCGGCCAGAATGTGTGGCTTGGCTGTTCTTTTTCCATGAGCTAAAGTGTGGCCTCAAAAACAAATATTTAGAAAGTGGGGAGAGGAGTGAAATCTCCCCCACATTTCAGGCGTTTTGCTTTTGCAATAATTTTGTAAAAAGCAATAAGTATTTCATGCTGTTGGAAGTTGGAGAATGGATAAATATTTTTGTTCGTTCTCATTCCCTCTCTCTCCTCAGATGCATATGTTCTTGTTTTGTCTATTTTTAAACATACTGAAACAAAACACTACTTTATAGAAAGCAACAGATGAAAACCACCATTATATGTGTAACCACATAGAACACAGTTGTGCAGTCAGCCTTAAAGAAACAAATCGAAAGAAAAGCTAAAGTAAAACCAAATCTTGAAAACTTTCATTCTTGTTTTGGATTGAAAGTGACTTGTCATTTGTACCTAGAAGGGTTTATTCAGGGACATAGGATTATTCAGAGGCTTTTCTCCCAGGGCAAAGAAAGAGGAATCCATTCCCAGAGGGGACAATCTAATACCACATGCTACCTTTGAACTCAGTAAAGTCCTTACCTCTCCAGTGTGAGCAGGAATTGGGCAGAAGCATGCTGGGAATATGCCAGTCAGTGTACCAATAGACCTGATCAATCCCCAAGACACATAGTTTCCTGCTCTTAGACCTACCCCACATTTTACTCTAGATTCTGATCTACACAGTTTCTGCAACTGGCATTGATCCCGAGGGCCTAGAAACAACCCAGAAAATAGATATATTCTGCCCTACTCACACTTCCTAAGCTTTTGGAGGCCCCAGCACCAGAGCTCTCCACAGCACATGATGGGATTATTCTACAGTTAGTCCTTCACATTCACTGGGGTTAAAAACTGTGTAATAGACTACTGCAATGTGCTCTACATGGGGTTGCCTTTGAAGACTGTTCGGAAGCTTCAAATAGTTCAATGGATGACAGCTAGATTGCTTACTAGAGTGGCATACAGGGAGCATACAATCCCCCTGTTATGTCAACTCCACTGGCTGCCTGTCGGCTACTGAGCACAATTCAAAGTGCTGGCTTTAGCCTATAAAGCTATACAATGCCCCAGAATATTTGTTGGATGTCAGAAGAAATACAAAGCAATATATGTAAGGAGAAAGTATAATATCCAAAGAGCATATAGCATACAATGTTATCAAAATTCCCAATATACAGCTCAATACAGTGGCATAAAGCTGAGTGAAAAGGAGCAACCACTCTCAAACATAAAAGTTCTAAGACTGATAGATTCCCATATATATATATATATATATATATATATATATAGAGAGAGAGAGAGAGAGAGAGAGAGAGAGAGAGAGAGACTTCCGGGATATGTGTTCAATGAAGAAACCTTTCAAAGTAAAGACAATGAGTCATGAAGTCCAAAGGAAAGTCCAAATAACATCAAAATTCAAGTAAAGTCCAGTAATAATAGAGCACCAAATAATAGAGCAAACTACAAATGGCATCAACAAGGGTGCCCGGGTATTTTTTGTACCCTGTTTCGGGGGGGGGGGGGGAAATCCCCTTCTTCAGGAGTTGATATTCACAGTGACTCTAGACTCATATCTAAAACAAAACATAGAGTAACAAGTATTTTCCAGCAAAATTATAAAAGTAGAGATAACCCATATAACAAACATATACTCACACAGTGCCTGATAGCTTTATAAGAAATGACWCTGCTTGTAGTAATTCCAACTGTGAGTAATCCTAAACCTTCACCCCCAGGTTTATAAGGACTATTTAGAAACTTAAAGGAAATAGCTAGAATTAAGTGACTCATATACTGTATGTTCTTTGGATATTATACTTTCTCCTTACATAGATTGCATTGTATTTAGCCTATAAAGCCCTAAACAGCTCTGGCCCAGCTTACCTGTCTGAATGTATATCACCTGATGAACCATCTCAGAGTTTAAGATTATCTGGAGAGGCCTGCTCTTGGTCCCGTCTCCTTTGCAGGTGCGATTGGCGGGGATGAGAGACAGGGCCTTCTCAGTGGTGGCCCCTCGACTGGAATTCCCTCCCCAGAGATATTAGATCAGCCCCCACCCTCTTGACTTTCCATAAAAGAGTAAAAACGTGGCTTTGTGACCAAGCCTTTGGAGAACTTGTGCAATAGATAGATATGGAATGATGTGCAATGACCATAGGAATAGCCCAGATGATGCTTGTGGATCACATGATCAATTGTGAAAGTATTGTTTTAAATGATTTAATTGTTTTAATGTATTTTTTATTCTATTTTAAATGTTTTTTTTAATTGTACATTGTTTTAAGACATCAAATAGTTCCCTATGTGTAAAGCCACCTTGATTCTCCTCCGGGGTTGAGAAAGGCAGGGTAGAAATGACGTAAATAAATAATAAAGTTAACTTAGTAAACAATGTAATAAGATGTGATGAAGCAGCTTGTAAAGATTAATGACCACAGCTCTGATTATCATCTTTATATTTTCTTAATAAATTCATTATACTATTGCTGTTTCAAAAGAAGGGAAGTGGTATAATTTAGCTTCTGATTAAAGAATAGACATAGTCTCAAAACATCACTTCACTAACACAAGGGCAGCAAGCCACAGGTTGGCTTTTTATTTGGAAATCTGATCTGATCTTCTACAGATGAATTTAAGTAGAAGGTTGTTGTGAATTTTCTGGGCTGTATGTCCATGTTCCAGAAGCATTCTCTCCTGACATTTCATCCACATCTATGGCGAGCATTCTCAGAGGTTGTGAGGTCTGTTGGAAACTAGACAGTTGAGGTCTATATATCTATAGAATGTCCAGGGTGGGAGAAATAACTCTTGTCTGCTTGAGGCAAGTGTGAATGTTGTAATTGGCCACCTTGATTAGCATTGAATGGACTTGCAGTTTCAAAGCCTGGCAGCTTATTGCCTGGGGGATCTTTTGTTGAGAGGTGTTAGCTGGTCCTGGTTATTTCCTGTCTGGGCTTCCCCTGGTTTTTTAGTGTTGGTCTTTATTTACTGCCCTTTATTTAAGCAGAGCTAAGTGGGTTGGCAAGCCTAGAAGCTTCCCATAAAAATGTGCAAGTTGCTTCATTGTACAGTATCCTCACCGTACATAATTCAACATTCTTAACCATGTATTTCAGATTCATTTCTATGAAACAGTATGCCAGCACATTCAAGCAGGTGACTCCTGTGAGAAGCTGGTGGGCTACTCCGCAGTGTATCGTGTGTGTTTTGGAATGGCCTGCTTCTTTTTCATCTTCTTCTTGCTCACAATCAAGATTGACAGTAGCAAAAGTTGTCGTGCATATATTCACAATGGGTAAGTTGAATTAATGTCGACATGGTGGTCGTTGCTCTTGGATTTTCACTGTGCTACACAGCTGCATTTGTTAATGCTTTTTATAAGATCTAGTGATTTTCTTTTCTTTATTCTATATCTTCGTTATTTCATATCTCCTTTATTCTAGTTTGTGACTGAATATTTTTGGAGCTTTGCAGGAAACATCCAGACAGATAATCCCAGTTATTGTTCCTGATAATTTCAGTTTTATTTTGGAGAACTATACTGACCAAAAGTTTGTTTGTTTATTTATTTATTTACAGTATTTGTATACCGCTTTTCTCACCCTGAAGGGGACTCAAAGCGGTTTCCACATAGGTAATGGCAAAATTCAATGCCAGCACAAACAATTACAATTACCGTATATTCCGGCATATAAGACGACTGGGCGTATAAGACGACCCCCAACTTTTCCAGTTAAAATATAGAGTTAAGACAACGCCCATGCATAAGACTACACCCGCGTATAAGACGACCCCTGACTTTTGAGAAGATTTTCTTGGGTTAAAAAGTAGTCTTATAGGCCAGAATATACTGTATACAATTACAGTTAGACATAAAGTTGGTGGTTCGAATCCGGGGAGCGGGGTGAGCTCCCGCTGTTAGGCCCAGCTTCTGCGAACCTAACAGTTTGAAAACATGTGAGTGTGAGTAGATCAATAAGTACCGCTTCTGCAGGAAGGTAACGGCGCTCCATGGAGTCATGCTGGCCACATGACCTTGGAGGTGTCTATGGACAATGCCAGCTCTTTGGCTTAGAAATGGAGATTAGCACCACTTCCCAGAGTCGGACATGACTAAACTTAACGTCAGGGGAAATATTTACCTTTTTAATACACATTTTGTTTATTCCAGAATATTTTATTTCAGCTCCCAGTATGGCCAGAGACTTTTTATATCATTAAAAAATTGGAAAAAACAAGAACTAAATCTGAAACTTTTTCATCAGTCTGGATGGACCCTCTATATATGTTCATAGCACTGGCTAAACAAAACTATTAAGAACCAATGAATGAGTTCTCTTGTTTCCAAGCTGCTTCTCCCTGCTTCTCCTTCCTATGTTTGTACACATTTCTGTGGGTATATGTTTTATTTATTTATTTATTTCCAAAAATTTTACCCCACCCTTCTCAACCCCTGAGGAGAGACTCAAAGCGGCATTTCAAAGGAATCCCACTCAGGGGTGATCAGATATTTGTAGAAATGTTCACAGTGAAAGAGGCTCTTTATTTTAATTTGCCTTCCTACTTAGTAATGTTCCACCTTCTCTAATGGGATAGCTGTGGTGCTTGATTTGGAAGAGTACAAACATTCCACTTATAAACGACACATAGTTAAGAATGAAATGAGACAACAGGAAGTGAGCGAAATCTACTTGTCAGAAAGCAAATTCACTCCCAAATGTTATCATGGGGGGGGGGGGGGGGGGAAGTGTCTCTACTAAAACTTTCTCACCAATCCTCATTTCAAAACAAGCCCTTTTTTCAAAATCTAATTGAATTGAAGAGAGATATTGACAAACTAGAATGTGTCCAGAAGAGGGCGACTAAAATGATCAAGGGTCTGGAGAACAAGCCCTATGAAGAGCGGCTTAAAGAGCTGGGCATGTTTAGCCTGAAGAAGAGAAGGCTGAGTGGAGATATGATAGCCATGTATAAATATGTGACAGGAAGTCACAGGGATGAGGGAGCAAGCTTGTTTTCTGCTGAAAAAGTCTCTGGCCATACTGGGAACTGAAATAGGACATGGAACAATGGCTTCAAACTACAAGAAAGGAGATTCCATCTGAACATTAGGAAGAACTTCCTGACTGTGAGAGCCGTTCAGCAGTGGAACTCTCCGCCCCGGAGTGTGGTGGAGGCTCTGTCTTTGGAGGCTTTTAAACAGAGGCTGGATGGCCATCTGTCAGGGGTGCTTTGAATGCAATATTCCTGCTTCTTGGCAGGGGGTTGGACTGGGTGGCCCATGAGGTCTCTTCCAACTCTATGATGCTATGATTCTATCCCAGAAACAGAAGTTAAGGTGAAATTTTCTGAACAGGGGCACAGACAGCAAAACAAACAGCACAAGGATGTTAACTTTTTCCTGTGCTATCCAATGCTTTTAGCTACACTTAAAATAATGTATCTGTTCCAACTTACAAACATATTCACCTTAAGAACAAACCTACAAAACCTCTCTTTTTCATAATGTGGATACTGCCTGTACTCACAAAATTCATACACGATACTTCACTTCTTCCCAAAGGATTGTTCTTTAGGAGGAGGAGCTATGAGAAGTATTAGAGCATATGGTCTGCAAACAAATATATTGTCCTAAGTTCTGTTTATAGCGTCACCTGACAGGACTGGACAAGTGCTTGCCTGAAACCTTGGTGAGCCACTACTAGTCATTTTCAACAGTACTGAATTAGATGGACAAAGAGTCTGACTCACTATCAGGTGGCACTTTATATGTTTTTGTGTTAATGGGTCTTCTTTTTCCTTATGTTGTCAGATGAATTCTTTCAGCAGGGAAGTGTGGTGGAGTTGATTCAAGAGCAGATCAAATATCTGCATGTCTTAATATGATTTTGCATATATGAAAATACCTTTGGGAAAGATGATAGACAGCATTCAGGAGCATCCCCATCACTATGAGCATATGTCCTTATATGTGTGTATGTAATATTTGCATTTAAGTAAATACAATTTTGTTTCTCTTTCCCCAGATTCTGGTTCATTAAACTTCTAGTCTTGGCAGCCATGTGCTCAGGAGCCTTTTTCATTCCAGATCAGGATACTTTTCTTAAAGGTACACATTTTTAAAATAAATGGTCTTTCTTCTTCTTCTTCATGGTCTACTATATGCAGGTATCAATTTAAACCAAGCACAAGAATTGGAGCCAAAGCCCAAAGTGAGCCTGGGTCTATCTTCCAGATGTAGAAAAGGGAAGAGCAGTGTAATATACATATATGAATGCAGGAAAGAGCAAATGAAACAAGACACAGGCAAATGAACTTGGAAATTCCCCAGTGCAGTTAATAGTGTTTTCTCTCTCCTTTTTCTAGAACAGTGTTTCTCAACCTGGGGGTCAGGAACCCTGGGGGGGGGGGTCTCAAGGGGGGGCTTGCCAAAACCATCAAAAAACACATATTTCTGATGGTCTTAGGAACCCCTTTGGCAGAGAAGGTTGAAGATCTCTTTTCTTCCTTTAATGTCATTCAAGTCCTTGAATCTGAAACCACCTAGGTTGTCTTTCAGAGGACCTCTGGCTTCTTTGTGTAGTTTGACATTGACTGATATTAAAACAGCTTTAAAATCATGGGTCATGAAGCAAAACCCTGAATTTTTCCAAAGTGGTTTTGTTGCCTGGGTTGAATGATAGCGCAAATCCAAATTAATGGGGACTATGTTGAATGGTTGTTTTGCATAGAGGACATCTCAGGCTATGATCTATAGCAACTTCCGCTGTTATACGAGGGTTGAATGAAAAGTAATGCCTCCACCTTCGTTACGTGGGTTTGGATGGGAATATTTTAATAAATCAAACTCAGAAATAATCCTTAGAATGTGCTCTTTAACTACTACTACTATTTACTTTTCGACATAATCACCAGACAATTGGATACATTTCTGCCAACGATGAACAAGTTTTCTGAAGCCATCACGGAAAAAGTCAACACTCTGTTTCTGCAAACTATCGTGAACAGATCTTCCAGTAGCCAAGCAAAGCAATAATGTTACCTACATGTTCTTGTGAAATGCCAATTATGTTTGAAATTTCTCTCTGAGTGATACAACAATCGTCCTGAATCAACCTGTAAACCTTTTGCTTGTGAAACTCGGTGGTTGCTGTCACAGGACGTCCAACTCTTTGTTTGTCATGCAAACCAGATGTTCCCACCTCAACATCTTTAAACTTTCTCGCCCAACGATGCACAGTACTCACATCAACACAATCACAATAAACAGCTTGCATTCTCTGATGAATATCCTTTGGGGTGACACCTTCTGCTGTCAAGAATTCAATGACTGCACGTTGCTTGTCGCATTGACCAACCGTCTACACAGGGTTCCATACTTCACACTTTAAGAACACAACTGTTCAATGCTAAAGCTTCCCGCCAAAATAGAACTGTAGAGGAGAGTCTACCTAACAAGCCGGTACCTGCCGCATACCAGTATTGCCATCGGTTGAGGAGTTACGAAGGTGGAGGCATTTCTTTTCATTCAACCCTTATATGTTCATTTATAACATTTTATGATACAGGAGGCAAAACTTTTTGATCCACCCTCGTACATCCTGAATATCAGATATTTACATTACGATTCCTAACAGTAGCAAAATTACAGTTATGAAGTAGCAACAAAGATAATTTTATGCTTGGGAGTCACCACAACATGAGGAACTGTATTAAAGAGTCGCAGCATTAGGAAGGTTGAGAAGCACTGTTCTAGACTATGTGATTAATGGCAAAGTAAACTTGAGAAGCAAATATTTTAGAAATGATGTATATTATGTAGCGAGAGAATAGACAGTCTTGCTTCCAGAAACCAGAGAAAGCATAAAACTGTATTTAAAATCCAAAGGTTTGATTCAGCCCTATTCTTTTGGCACAGCTGTACAAATGAAACAGACTACTTTAAATCAACAATTTCGTGTGGTTAGTGGCCAGGGATGGTGGCATTCGGCACTCAAAATTTGGAGGGCTACATATTCACCATTTAATTTAGTAAAAGGGACACTAGTCTCTAGCAATCTTACACAAAGTTGTAATTATAGAAACACAACCCACCCTTTCCCTTAGATCAAAAAGCCCAAAAAGAGAAAAAGTATAAGCTGCAAGTGCTTCAGTGTTTGGCAATGCTCAGGCAAAATTATTACAGTCTTCCCTTTTAATTCCATAACTGTATTTTGCCCTAGCCAAGATGTCCCTAGTTTAAAATAGCTTTTCTAACAAAAGGATATCCCTCCTGCATTTCAGGTTGTATTGCAGGAAACAGGCATGTAATCACCCCTCTGCCCTCCACAGTGAAAAGTCGAACCAGAAGGCCATAAAATGAAAGGCTCAAGCTGCATAACTTGTTAAATGTATGGTTTGCATTTGTTTCTGGGTGGTAGTGAGAAACTGGTCAGATAAGAACTTGTTGGGAGAGAGACAATTTTTTCCATCCATACTATCTCCTCAGCGAAATCCTTTCTTCCCCAACATAGAAAGTGGAGAGAACAGTGCAATTTGTGCTGCAGGAGAACATTGGTTTCCAGGTGGAAGGTGGTCCCGGTCAGGGTAGATCTGACATGCCTTCCTCTTGGCATGTTTCTCCCTTTCGCCCTCAATTCGTGCCTCTTTGAATTCCACAGCACTACTAGTCACAGCTGACCTTCAGTTAGAGTGCTCAGGGGCCAGGGCCTCCTAGTTCTTTGTGTTAATACCACGGTTTTTAAGGTTGGCTTTAAGTCCATCTTTAAATCTCCTTTCCTAACCACCACCGTTACATTTCCCGTTCTTGAGTTGGGAGTAAAGTAACTGCTTTGGGAGACAGTGATTGAGCATTTGGACAATGTGGCCAGTCCACCGGAGTTGATGTCATAGGAGCATTGCTTCAGTGCTGGTGGTCTTTGCTTCTTCCAGCATGCTGACATTAGTCCGCCTGTCTTCCCAAGAGATTTGCAGGATTTTTCAGAGGTAATGCTGATGGAATCATTGCAGGAGTTGAGTGTGACGTCTGTAGACAGTCCATGTCTCGCAGGCATATAGCAGGGTTGGGAGGACAATAGCTTTATAAACAAGCACCTTGATTTCCCTTCAGATGTCTAGATCCCCAAACGCTTTCTGCTTCATTTGGGAAAATGCTGCATTTGCAGGGCTCAGGTTGTGTTGTATTTAAGTGTCAGTGTTGACTTTTGTGGAGAGGTGGCTGCCAAGGTAGTGGAAATGGTCGACGTTTTCTAATGTTACACCATTCAGCTGTATTTCTGGCATTGCAGAGGGATTGGCTGGTGCCTGCTGGAAGAGCACTTTGGTTTTCTCAAAGTTCAATGAGAGGCCGAGCTTCTCGTATGCTATATGAATCCTTGCTTATCTAGGATGTGGAAGATAAAAGCTTCACTTGCTTTAATGGCTAATTAGAAATAGTGTGGGTTTTTCTTTTTCTTCTTCTTCTGTGCAAAATGTACATGTTTTCAAACAATAAAACCTGGAACATGTGCAAGAGAAATGAGTCACTCTGGAATGTGTAAAAACTTTGTTGGCATGTCAAGCTTGACGAGATTAGCTCATTCATTGTACAATTGAACTGTGCTGCTGGCAGGATTTAGTGAGGTTTTTTTTCCTGTTCTTTATGTGGAACAATTAAACCAAACGGCACTTGATCTTGTGCTGCTGAAAGTCAGCAGCAATTGCTATTAAATGCTTCTCAATTTTGTTACTTTCTAATTTAATGACAGTCAATAGTACGGAATTAGATTTCTTGCAGAGCTTCCATTTCATTACTGCAAGAACCTCATATCTGCAGCTGTATCAGAACAGTACTTCCCAAAAAATAATACATTTGCTGCTGTCATAAATGTTAGCAGATGGCTGTGCCCAAAACCTGTACGAAGAAGAAAATGCACAGTTACATATAACATAATTCTAAGGCTTCTTTTATTATAAATGTATGGTTAACACGAACTGTAGTGCCATAAGACTCTTCAAATCTCACATACTTCCTATGTTAATTTTTTCAAAGAGCCTCAGGATGTCAAATGTGCAAGGTGTGGGCAGTGAAAGGTTTCAAACTACTGATAGATGTTTGTGTGGTTTTTAGAAGATTCACAAGAAATCTTGAATTCCAGTTATTTGACAATAACAGCAGCCAAATTACCCATCTCCCCTTGATTATATTGCTAAAATCTTCAGGCAACCAGGTTTGTGGCAACTTGGAGGATATTTATAGGGTGGAGTCCCAGATCTAATCATTTCTATTAGAGCAAAAACTTAAATGCAGCAGTTTGGAATTCAAAGTTCATATTCTTTATGCCAGGCTTAAGTCAGTGGCTCATGGAAAGAGGGTGTTGCAGTAAAAGCCTGATCTCAGTCTACAACAGATTGACATAGAGTGGAATATTCCCTTCAAAACGCATCTGCACTTAAACCCAAATCCAGAGATGGCCTGGAGCTGTTCAAATTCTCTGTCACTGATTCTCGGTGGAGTCCATACTGTCCAGTTGGGTTTGAAACTGGTGTGACCACACCCGAATGGTCATTCTTACCTGTGGTTTCAATCACTGATCCATCCCTTTTCCCTTCACCGCCGAAACTACGGTGCATTCCCTGACTTCATGTAATGTAGAGGAAAACCAAATTTATGGTTTTACCCCCATGTTATAGACTATAAGTTTGTACTTCTGGTCCAAATAGGGGTTTGGAGTGAATTTAGACAATCCCATAGAGCAGTGGTTCCCAACCTCTGGTCTGTGGACCATCAGTGGTCCACAAGAACAAAAATATGGTCCACAGCCTCACCGTTACTACACCATTTCAACTAAAGTGACTGGGCTTGCTTAACCCTTTTATAGTGCTGAGGCAACAGGGAAGCCAGGAGGGGAGAGGTTGACTATCCACATTTAAATATCATTTTCTGTGAGCGAGCAGATGGAGACTACTGAATGGTATATGTTCTTATCAGAAACTAGAGCTGATGTGGTCTATCCAATGCAATTTTCTGAATCGGCACCCAAAATAACCAAACCAAATCTCAAGCTGACCAACAACCGATTCGTAACCCTTTTAGTACTGATGTTGGAGAGTGGTCCCTGGTCAAAGTGGTTAGCATCGACCACATCTGTATATTTAAGAAATGTTATTTATAGACTTTCTATACTTAGAACTGTCAAAGTGGTCTTTGGTCAGGTTGTCCCTGGTTTTAAAAAAAGGTTGGGAACCACTGCCTTAGAGTTTGAGAGTTGTAGTTCCTTGAACATTAAGATGAGGTTCAATTTGTTAAACTAGCTGGGATATGAGAGGGAGAAGATTGACTTGCCTCAGTACGAGATGCTACGAGTATTAACTGCATGGAACTTTCTCTTGGGTTCCACAAGGCATCATCATGTAGCTAAAGACAGTCTTAGAACTATTTATTACTTTTATTTGCAACTATAATTTAACCGGCACTTTTATATCACATTTGTATCCCAATTTTCCTCCAAGGAGTTCAAGGCAGTGCACATGCTTAACAGAGGTTTTTTTAATCCAGTTTATATATATATATATATCCAATCTATGTAATGTTGTTATTGTTTTCATGGTGATGTATTTTATTTTATGTATTATGTATTTTATGTTTGGCATCTTTGGGTGCTATTTTGTAAGTCGCCCAAGTTCCTGTGGAAGGAAGATGGTGGTGGGGTATAAATAAAGTATCATCATCATCATCATCATCATCATCAAGGACACAGTAGTTTTGATATGTAACACTTTTGAGGGGAAATGCTGAACAGACAAAAATGGGAGTGGAGAAGCAGACAGGTGACCAAAATGTCATTTTGTCTTTGGGAAATGGTGGTGGTATATTCAAAAGCTTGATGCAATTTGTCCCTCAGAGATAATCTGACCTACTGATAATATGGCAAACTTTGTCTAGGAAACGCATAGATCACAGATCACCTTTTTCTGTAATTTCTTTTCTGGGATAAACTGTTCATCCTAAATATTCAAATGTCTGTATCTGTCTTGAATTAAAAATAGGAGTATTTTTTTTCCATATAACGGAATGAATACAAATGTGATGCTGTCTTTTGGGTGGGGAATACAATCAATGCCTGTATTGTACATTTGGACCTGGGAGACACTCCCATTTCAACCACAAACTGTAGAGTGGGATGTGTTTCGGGGCTGTTAGACTACACTTTCCAAGGCTACAGTTCTAAGTATAGAAAGTCTATAAATAACATTTCTTAAATATACAGATGTGGTAGATGCTGCTAAACAGAAATGCTTCGTACTGTGATAAAAAAATCCTTTAGATTTATCTGAACTTTTAGAACTCCACACACACACACATACACCCTCTTCTGTGTTATGTTGATTTGAATATTTTTTGCAGTCTACTTTGTCTATTATTAGTTGTTATTTAATGCTACTCTGTATTTAAACATTCCCATATTATTTTTTTCGTTTCTAGTATTTAATCCAGCATTGGTGCAAACATTTCTCAATGTAAGGCTATTATTGCAATCACCTTGCAGCTTTTCATTTTTCTTACAGCATGGCGTTATGTAGGTGCTGCGGGAGGGTTCCTCTTCATTCTCATCCAACTTATGCTGCTTGTAGAATTTGCGCACAAATGGAATAAGAATTGGTATGTTATCTTTTCATGCACCCACAGATCCTTCATATACTTGCTAACAATAGTGTATCCTTATAAGTTGCATTGTAATTAGATTTTTTTAAAAAAATAAGCCAGAAATCAGCCCCCTGAAATCGTCCATCCATTTGGAGCTGTTCTTTTTGGGGTTTTTTTTTTGGGGGGGGGGGGGCAGGTGTTGCGGTATTCATTCTCATTTATAATTTTAAAAAATTATTTCCTCATTTTTAGGCATTACACTTTTTTATTCTCTTTTTTGTGCTATTAATTTTCTACTTACTGGACATATTCTATATATTTATTTATAAGCTGACAAACGTTAGTCAAAAATTGACCCCATAAACCTGGGGGCCTTTCCACACAGCCATATGTCCCAGAATATCAAGGCAGAAAATCCCACAATATCTACTTTGAACTGGAATATGTGGCAATGTGGACCCAGATAACCCAGTTCAAAGCAGATATTGTGGGATTTTCTGCCTTGATATTCTGGGATAAAGGACTGTGTGGAAGGGCCTTGGGTCAATTTATCCATGGGTTAGTGTACATACTTATGTCAAAAAATGAACCATCTCCTTTTGTGAGTAGAGTGGTGAACAGTGAAATCTTAGGGCTCTTCCACACAGCTATATAACCCAGAATATCAAGGCAGAAAATCCCACAATATCTGCTTTGAACTGGGTTATCTGAGGGCCCTTCCATACAGTCCTATATTCTGGAATATCAAGGCAAAAAAATCCACATTATCTACTTTGAACTGGGTTATCTGAGTCCACATGCAGATAATGTGGGATTTTCTGCCTTGATGTTCTGGGATATAGCGCTATGTGGAAGGGTCCTAAATCCTCCACACTGCTATATATCGCAGTTCAAAGCAGAAAATGTGAGATTTTGTTCAGTTGTGTGGAAGGCAGTTTGGTCCATCTTGGGAAAATCTGAAAGATGGGCCATATCAAAAGTCATCATTTTGGACACAAAACATCATCTTGGCTTAGATTTTAAGCCACCACATAGACAAGTATATATGGTACCTATTTCCCATGGGACTGACTATTTTTATTGCTGTTACAGTCCTAAGCAGTGCTTCAAACAGTATTTTTAGTTGCATCTGCATCAGTAATACATGAACTTAATAAAAGCAATAGGAAGTATCAATGAGGCTGATGAGCAGGTTGGCTTTCTTTCTCCCAAAGAACAGGTTGGCTTTCTTTCTCACCTTGAACTAGTGGTCATTCCTATAGTGAGGAAAAAAAAAATATCCTGCTTTTTGGTCTTCATTCTGCAAAATCAGGATGTGTTTTCATGGGTAAAAGTAATGTTCTTATTTAAAGGATTATCCTTCAAGTGAATATTGAAGGATCATCCTGCTTATTGTCACTATTTAGTAATCTGTATAGATCCTGTCAGGAGCCCCTGGTGGCGCAGTGGCTTAAAGCACTGAGCTGCTGAGCTTGTTGATCGAAAGGTCGCAGGTTCAATTCCGGGGAGCGGCGTGAGCTTCCGCTGTCAGCCCTAGCTTCTGCCAACCTAGCAGTTCGAAAACATGCAAATGTGAGTAGATCAACAGGTACCGCTCCGGCGGGAAGGTAACGGCGCTCCATGCAGTCATGCCGGCCACATGACCTTGGAGGTGTTTACGGACAATGCTGGCTCTTCGGCTTAGAAATGGAGATGAGCACCACACCCCAGAGTCAGACATGACTGGACTTAATGTCAGGGGACTACCTACCTACCTACATAGATCCCGTCACTTTATGAAGTCAATACATATCAAGCTATGCTTGCTTAAAGTAATAAAGATACAATTTGTTTTGCATCGCCCATATTGGTATCAAAGTAACTAAGTTGTGGAAATAGGAAAATTGTAATGAAACCTGTGATACAATGACTCCAGTAAGATTTGTTCTTAAGCCGATCAGTCGGTATCCGTAATTTATCTTTTCTCCAGCTTAATGAACTGACATGCGTTTCTTTCCCAAATAGGACATCTGGTGCAAGGCAAAACAAACTCTGGTACGGCTCCTTAGCTTTTGTGACGCTCACGTTGTATTCCATAGCTGTTGGAGCGCTGATTGTGATGGCTGTCTTTTACACGCGTGCTGATGGCTGTACGTTTAACAAGATCCTGCTTGGCGTCAATGGTGGCTTATGCTTGCTTGTTTCAATGGTAGCCATCTCACCCTGTGTCCAGGACCGTAAGCAAGCTTTTCATTCTCCTTCTTCTGATCTTGCTTTAGTTGGAATTACTGGTCACTTTGTGGATGTAATTTGAGTATTCTGCAAGTAGAATTTTGTTTGTGTTTGTGACCAAGAGCTCATTCACACATCATAATTATATTGCTGTTATTCCACTTTAACAGCCATGGTGCCATCCTGTGAAATCATGAGGTTTGTAGTTGAACCGCTATCGGGCTAAGGCTGCCAATTCTAAATCTTCAACGCAGAACTGCAGGTCTCAAGATTCAGTTTATGGAACCATGGCAATTAAAATGGAATTATAATACAATAGTTGCGTAGTATAAATGCACCCCAGCTTGTTTGTCCCCATCTCTGACCCAATTTTCTAAGTTTTCTAGATGACTCACATCTATGAAAGTTTGACCCATGAATGTAGAAGGTCGATTATATTTCTTTTTGGAAAAAGGAACCTTCAAATCCAGATCATTGAATGTTTTTGTAAAAAAAGAACTCCCACCCCAACCTCCAGAAAACACCTTCCTAAGAACTCATTGTGATTAACCTTGTTTTCCTTTTTAATATGTAGGTCAGCCACATTCAGGCTTACTACAGTCGGGCATCATCAGCTGTTATGTCATGTATCTTACCTTCTCATCACTTTCAAGCAAACCTCCAGAAACTAGTAAGTTTAATCAGGGATTAATTAGGCATATGAGGCTGCCAGGCTGCCACTACTCTAGGCAGTGGAATTAGAGTGTCAGGAAAGGGAAGGAAATTGTTACTTATTTTGTTATTGTCGTATTTTACTGCTAGAAATTCATACAAGAGGGATTTTATGCCTCCTCTGTCAAAATAATTTCCCTAGGCAGGAAACAGCCAAGCCTTGAAGCTTCAAGGCTATTCAGTGCTAACCAAGGTGGCCAATTGCAGCATTCATACTTGCCTCCAACAGACAAGAGTTCTTTCTCCCACCCTGGACATTCCCACAGATATATAAACCTCACTTGCCTAGTTTCCTACAGACCTCTCAATCTCTGAGGATGCCTGCCATAGATGTGGGCGAAACGCCGCACATCTATATCAGGAGAGAACGCTTCTGGAACATGGCCATACAGCCCGGAAAACTCACAGCAGTCCAATTTACTTACTTACTTACTTACTTTATTCCTACCCTGCCTTCCTCCCCATGGAAACTCGAGGCAGCTTACAACTTCATGACACAACCCAATAAATTTTAAAACAGCAAATACAAAAATTAAAAGCAATTACAAAAATTAAATATTTGTGAAATGGATACAAGTTAAAATATGTTAAAATATAATAAATATGTTGGCGTAGCAGGTTAAACCACTGAGCTGCTGCATTTGCTGACCAAAAGGTTTGTGGTTCAAATCCGGGGAGCGCGGTTACCCCCAGCTTCTGCCAACCTAGCAGTTTGAAAACATGCAAATGTGAATAGATCAATAGGCCCCTATTCTGCGGGAAGGTAATGGTGCTCCATGCAGTCATGCTGGCCTCATGACCTTGGAGGTGTCTACGGACAACATTGGCTCTTTGGCTTAGAAAGGGAGATGAGCACCACTCCCCAGACTCGGACACAACTATACTCAATGTCAGGGGAAAAATTTACCTTTACTTTATGATAAATGCAATTAAAATTCACAATCACTCTAGAATCGTACCTACAACTTCCTCAGCAGCATGGTCCCCATCCTCCTCCAAATTTGTCCTGGAGGTTCCTTTGCTATTCCAAGCTTGGCAGCAAAATATTTTAATGCTATTTGGGAATTATATATACACATACACTAATGGAATTGTAACAATCAATAAGAATCAGTGCTGTTCCTGAAGCATTGTTTCTGATGTCGTTGTTTATAAATATGACAGTATTTGCTTAGAAAAACATAAACAATAGCAGGAGAAATTACATGTGCATAAATTCTTTTCTAGGCCTTGATTTATATGTCAATTTCATTGCAGAGTAACCACTGAAATGGTTGTGTGAACCAGTTTGCTGCATGATTTCTTTTTTCATTTTGTATTATTTATTTATTGATGAAAATCCTGGTAATAGATTGGCTAAGCAGGCTATAGCAGAATAAGAAAAGTTGGAAGTAAAATAATGAAAATACATACATAATAGATAATCTTAAATACAAGGCAACAGAATATCCAGATAGATATCCTTACATCATGTTACATTTGTATGCCGTGTGCTCAGATGTGGAAAAGATTATGAGTACCTCAATCCACTGTCTTCCTAGAGTCAGTGTTAGTGTTAGCCACCAGATGGACACATTTCTGCTGAAAAGTTGCTAATTTCCAAAAAGTCAGTAAATAGTTAGGTATGACATTCACCTTTCTACAAGTTTCAAAAATTGCCTCACTATAAAGTTGACACAATTGAGAACCTCCCTCTGAAAAGAAGCTACAACTGAACATAAGCAAATCATATACTTGAAAGAAGCATTAGGTGAATTACAACACCAGCAAATAGCTGAACTATTTAGGCCTTAACCTTTTTTCAAAAAAAAAAAAAAAGCATAGCAGTGTCTAGTATATCCAGAACTTATGCTTTTGCTGAATTTTGCATGAACACATCTCTCTACTTGCGCTTTCCAAATGTTGACCTTGGTATGGTTGAACTTGGCTGAATTACATGGGAAGTGTCTTGTACATTTTGGAATCGAAATGTTTCTATTTTTCAGTAGCTACTGCAGTGCCTGCCCAGTAATGTTTGGAATTTGGTCTAATTCTTCTATCCAAAAGAAAACTATTAAATAAAATCAAAATCAAGATTTAAAAAATGGATGTGAATGGTGAAAGCTTAGTTCTAAAGAGAGAGAAAACATTGGTTTTGTTTAGGTTTTATTTGTTCTTGGGATGTATCAATGAAGCAAATCATTAAAAGAGGAAAAAAGCAAATTCAATGGTGACTTCTATTATTTAAGCAAAGTATGACACAGACTTATTTTCTTTAGTTTCAGTGTGATGAGGCAGCCATGTAATACCCTGCTAGAAGCGCAGCTAGTGCAAAAAATGATTCTTTCCACTTACAGCTGTTGGGGTCTCATTGAAAACTATTTTGAATCACTGGGGTGTTGAGGGGACTCCAGAAGGGAGGAATGGAGGGAATATTCCCCTTTCTCAAACATAACTCTGCTCATGAAACGTTGAGCCACATTCCGAATCATAACTGAAATGTAAAATAAGCCACAATGATTATGTACTGATTTTTTTCATTTTGTTTTGTTTTTAAAAGTCCTCGATGAGAATCAGAACAACATCACAATCTGTGTACCTGAATTCAGCCATGGGCTGCAAACAGATGAAAACTTGGTGACTGGGCTGGGAACTACCATCCTTTTCCTGTGTATTTTATATTCTTGGTATGTCCCAAGTTGCATTCGTAATGTGATATGTAAGTAGTTAAGTATAATACCAACAGTCGCACCAGTCTGACGAGAAGCAACTGAAAAAGCTTACACGATATGAGGATTTCTCTGGCACAAACCAGTAAAGGTGCTCCCAGTGGTGATTGGCACACTGGGTGCAGTGCCTAAAGACCTTGGCCTGCACTTAAAAACAATTGGCGCTGCCAAAATTACTATCTGTCAGCTGCAAAAGGCCACCCTACTCGGATCTGCACACATTATTTGCTGATACATCACACAGTCGTAGACACTTGGGAAGTGTCCAACGTGTGATCAAATACAAAAGCTAGCATAGTGATCTTGTTTGCTGTTTACTAATATTGTTATGTATCAAATAATAGGAATAATAATAATAATACTTTATTTGTATCCTGCCCCCTCTCCAAAAGGACTCGGGGCGGCTAATATTAATATAGCTCTTTTTTCAAAGAGAGAGAACTGGAAAAATGGCTGGAAAGTTATGCAAAGCCTATATAATCGTGGATGTATATCAATAGGGTTGGACAACCTGAAGCATTAAAACCCAAGACATCCCTCCTGGGGTCTCAGCTTTCCAAGATGCCCATCCTCTTTTGCCATGATGCCAAAGCTTGATTATTCCCACCAGTATACCCCTGCAATATAGTTTAGTAAAGAAAGCAGCATCTCTTTGTATAGTCATTACTTGACACATTTGTTTTAGCCACTGCATTCATACAAATTACCTACATGCACTGAAAAACATATTAACTTCTCATATATCCCTATAGAAATTTGTCAGTGTTTCTTTTTGGGTTCTTTGGGCAATGCTGATTTAGCAGATGCTTGATTGTATAAACATCTGAATTTATTTTATACAAATGAACCAGTTTCCAAGGAAAACGCCTCTCAGAACTTTAAGGTTGCCTCTGTTCTCCTTAATTCATTTGGGACCAATATCTTCCAAAAATAAGAAATGTTCTAATGTTAGATAAATGTGTCTTGAACAAAAGAGCATCAAAGAATGATCTGTTTCCACTGATGGATTTCCTGTTTGTTTCTAGCTTGACCTCGACAACACGCTCAAGCTCTGAAGCACTGCGGGGTATATATGCAACACCCGAAACTGAAGTAAGCCAACATTTCCCTTTGTACTTTAGCATTGTCTATTTTGAAGATGTGTAGATTCTCTTTGGTGGAGTCCCCTCATGTGCATGTCTACTTCTTTCTTTCTATTTATCTTCCAGTATTTCTTTATGTTTAATTTAACATATAAAAGAATTGCCATGTAGCAATTTTGTCCCGTAACTCCAAATAATCTCTGTGTGTCCTCAGAAACATGATCAAGTGTTAGCTTTCCTGGAAAGAAGTGGTGAGTGGATTTCCGCAGGGTGCCATCCTGGGCCCTGTTCTGTTCAGCATCTTTATTAATGACTTAGATAAAGGTTAGAAAGCGTGATCATCAAGTTTGCCGATGACACCAAATTGGGAGGGATAGCCAATACTCCAGAAAACAGCAGCAGAATTCAAAATAATCTTAACAAATTAGAGAGATTGATTGGCCAAAACTAAAAAAAAAATGAAGTTCAACAGGAACAAATGTAAGACACTCCAAAGATACAGAATGGGGGATGGCTGGCTCGACAGCAGTACATGTGAAAAAGATCTTGAGTCCTCGTGCACAATAAGTTAAACAGGAACCAACAATGTGAAGCTGTAGCAAAAAATATATATAATCCAATAATATATTGGGCTTTATAAATAGGAGTATAGAGGGCATCCTCAAACTACGGCCCTCCAGCTGTTTGGACCTTCAACTCCCAGAATTCCTGACAAGTGAACAAGCTCGTTACGGTTTCTGGGAGTTGGAGGCCCAAACAGCTGGGGGGCCACAGTTTGAGGATCCCTGGAGTATAGTGTCTAGATCCGGGAAGTCAGGCTACCCCTCTATTCTGCCTTGGTCAGACCACATCTGGAATACTGTGTCCAATTTTGGGCACCGCAATTGAAGGGAGATGTTGACAAGCTGGAATGTGTCCAGAGAAAGGCGACTAAAATGATCAAGGGCCTGGAGAACAAGCCCTATGAGGAGTGGCTTAAAGAGCTGTGCATGTTTAGCCTGCAGAAGGCTGAGAGAAGACATGATAGCCATGTATAAATATGTGAGAGGAAGCGATAGGGAGGAAGGAACAAGCTTGTTTTCTGCTGCCCTGGAGACTAGGACGCAGAACAATGGCTTCAAACTACAGGAAAGGAGATTCCACCTGAACATTAGGAAGAACTGTGCAACTGTCTGCCCTGGAGTGTGGCAGGGGCTCCTTCTTTAAAGGTGCTTCAATGTGATTTTCCTGCTTCTTGACAGGGGATTGGACTGGATGGGCCAACTCTCATTCTATGATTGTATGAGTGTCCCTTTTTTTTCAACCACTTTGAAGAATTTACAACTTATTAGCTTTTTCCCTGCAAGATGTTGTCAGGTTTTAGGCTTCACTGCTTACACTTTTCACCTAATAAATCACCGATAATGAACTCTGGAAGTCTTACAAAAACTGTAGCCTGCATGCAGCTGTTATATCCAACTTTGGGCATTCTGTGATATGTCCAAAAGCCTGTGCTTGGGGGCACACTGTCAAACACATTGGGATAGCGCCAGACTTAGTTATACACAGAAGGATAACTATTAAAACAAGCTCCATTAGTTTCCAATACAGCAAATAAATCTTAAACACTGCTTACATTGTGTCTTTCATTGTTTACATGGTGTCTCATAGGTTTCCAGTGCAACTCTAATATTTCTAGTACCTCCATAATTTAAAAAAAATGGTAGTACAGGCAAGGGTTTTGTTTTTAGTATGTGCCTGGATGCCAAATTGGTTGCACTAATAGAAGGTCTGAAGTCCTTGCAACTTATGGGAGTTCCAGATGGCATCGTCTCCAGCTGCTATACAGCGAGTTGCCAGCCAAGGAAGTGCTTCAAAGAAGTAGCACTTCACAGTGTGGGGCTTTGGCACAAGTGTAGCTGGCTCAGGGCTTGCCGTTGCTCGGCTGCCAGTTTTGACCTAGTTCGTTTGGACTTGCAGCAGTCTATGTTACTGGGCATGTGATTTTGCATCCCTGTCACTGAACAAACAGCAAGGTCAGGAAGGCCCCTTAGTTTGTTGATTCTCCTTTTGCTGTGTAAAGGACAACACAGATGGATTCTGTCTGAGGAGGCATTCCTTGTTGCACAAGAGAGCTCCAAACTCCTGCATTATAGTGTAGCATAATAGAATTACTTTTAGATCATTTGCCCTTAAAGAGCACTACAAGAAAAACTGCATGGGAACATAAAGCAAAGGCTAGCAGCAGGCAACTAATGGTGTGTCTCATTCTTTCCTGCAATAGAAGGCCTTTTGTCTTCTGATTAGAAATGTAAACAAAATTCTCTAGCTGCATTTATTACGTAGGGAGGCTTTCTTGCATCCAAACTAAAGACTGTTACCCATGTTATGGAGAGCTGTTTACATGCCTGCCAGCATCACTAATTGCTTCTCTCAAGAATGTGCAAGACTTGAGGCTCTTTTAAGAGTCGTGTTTTAGGCTTTACTGTTTCAACGTTGTCATACATTACAAGACAACCCCTTTTTATTTTGAAATTTTACAATGCAAAGGAATAGCTAAGCCAAAACATGCAAAGAACTGACTATTCTGAATCCATAAAAGGCATTGAAAATACTTTGCTTTTGCCAGAATCTATGATCCTGTTCAAATATGTCTCTTAGAGATATTTTATATTAATATAGGCCAATGCAAATAAAAGAATATCTGTGTGTTGCCAACAAAAATTAATTGGTAATGAACATTTATAAAATGTCACCACGATTTTGTAATATCTTAAAATTTCTAAATGTATTTCTAATTTACTGTTTACCTAATATCAGGAAGAATATAAAGTTCTTGATCACTTTGAAGTGCAATGTTCTCTTGTGCTTTGAAAAGCTGTATTCTGTCATTAGGTTGTGGTTATTATCTAGCAACATGGAGCCACAGTAGCGCAATGGGTTAAACCCTTGTACCTACTGGACTGCTGACCTGAAGGTTGCCTGTTCAATATCTGCAAGACGGTCTGTCAGCTCTAGCGTGTGAGGACATGGGAGAAGCCTCCCACCAGGATGGTAACACATCCGGGCGTCACCTGGGCAACGTCTTTGTAGATGGCCAATTCTCTCACACCAGAAGTGGCTTGCAGTATGTTCTCAAGTGGCTTCTGACATGATAACAAATAATTATCTAGCAATGATTTCTGAAGTTTGTTTAATCTCCAAAATATTCTAGCATTAGTCCTGGTGGTGCAGTGGGTTAAAGCACTGAGCTGCTGAATTTGTTGACCGAAAGGTCGCAAGTTCAAATCAAGGGAGCGACATGAGCTTCCGCTGTCAGCCCCAGCTACTGCCAACCTAGCAGTTTGAAAACATGCAAATGTGAGTCATGCCGGCCACATGACCTTGAAGGTGTATACAAACAATGCCGGCTCTTTGGCTTAGAAATGGAGATGAGCACCAACTCCCAGAGTTGAACACGACTTGACTTAATGTCAGGGGAAAACCTTTACCTTACCTAGTCCCTCGGTATGTTGCAAAATTAGGCAAAATTAACTTTCAAAATATCAATGTTATTGTGTCAGTTTCTTTCCTGGCAAATCAACTCTTCTTTTTGTTTATTTGTTCTTTAGATAGCTCGCTGCTGCTTCTGCTGTGCTCCAGATGAAGATGGTAAGGATTAATTCCCTTATGCAATTTAAATTTCATGCACATTCACAATATTTAGAAAACGGTGGGATTTCCCCCCCCCCCAAGACAGGAATCAGCCAGGCCTTGAAGCTGCAAGGCTTTTCAGTGGTAATCAAGGTGATTAATTGTAGCATTCACACTTGCCACCAACAGACATGAGTTATTTCTCCCACCCTGGACTTTTCACAGATATATAAACCTCCCTCGCTTACCTCACAACCTCTGAGGATTCCTGCCATAGATGTGTGCAAAACATCAGGAGAGAATGCTTCTGGAACATGGGCACACAGTCCAGAAAACTCACAGCAACCGGGGATTCCGACCATGAAAGTCTTCGACGACACATTCTTAACACCAAAAATGCCCAGATTTTATATAAGTTTCTCTTGACTTCAGTTGCACTTTCTCAAAACACAGCTGTAATCTATATATATAAATTTCCTACTGGCGTCCAACGGGGAAGCAAAACTCTAAAACCCCTCCACAAAACTCTACCAAAATTGCCATGCCCCAAGGACAACCCACTAGGTACAAACTAATCCACTCAGAAATCAAAACCACACAACAACAACCACAAAAAACGGGAAAACAACTGAGCATGCGCACTGGCGCAAACTCCCCGACGCGCGCGCACATATGGCCCCTCACCCTCCCCCCCGGCGGAGCACACACACACACACCCGCACGCGCGCGCCCCCTCACCCCCGGCACACGCGCGCGCGCGCCCCCTCACCCCCCCGCGCGGCACACACGCGCGCGCCCCCCTCACCCCCCGGCCCGGCACACGCGCACGCGCACGCGCGCCCCCCTGATCCCCCCGCACGGCACACACACGCGCGCGCGCCCCCCCTCACCCCCCGGCGCGGCCACGCCCCCTTCTAAACCCATCCCCCCTCCCCTCCTCCCTCTTACCCCTCACGTCACCTCCAAGCCCCGCCCCCTTCTAAACCCATCCCCCCTCCCCTCCTCCCTCTTACCCCTCACGTCACCTCCAAGCCCCGCCCCCTTCTAAACCCATCCCCCTCCCCTCCTCCCTCTTACCCCTCACGTCACCTCCAAGCCCCGCCCCCTTCTAAACCCATCCCTCCCCCCTCCCTCCTCACGTCACCTCCAAGCCACGCCCCCTAAACCCATCCCCCCTCCCCTCCTCCCTCTTACCCCTCACGTTACCTCCAAGCCCCGCCCCCTTCTAAACCCATCCCCCCTCCCCTCCTCCCTCTTACCCCTCACGTTACCTCCAAGCCCTGCCCCCTTCTAAACCCATCCCCCCTCCCCTCCTCCCTCTTACCCCTCACGTACCTCCAAGCCCCGCCCCCTTCTAAACCCATCCCCCCTCCCCTCCTCCCTCTTACCCCTCACGTCACCTCCAAGCCCCGCCCCCTTCTAAACCCATCCCCCTCCCCTCCTCCCTCTTACCCCTCACGTCACCTCCAAGCCCCGCCCCCTTCTAATCTGTCAAGGAAGAAAGGAGAGAAAGAGGGAGGTAAAGAAAGAAGGAAGGAAGGAATGAGGTAGAAAAGGAAGAAAGGAGAGAAAGAGGGAGGGAAAGAAAGAAGGAAGGAAGGAATGAGGTAGAAAAGGAAGAAAGGAGAGAAAGAGGGAGGGAAAGAAAGAAGGAAGGAAGGAATGAGGTAGAAAAGGAAGAAAGGAGAGAAAGAGGGAGGGAAAGAAAAAGGGGGGAGGAAGGAAAGTTAGAGAAGGAAGGAGAGAAGGAAAGAAAAAAGGGAAAGAAGGAAGGAAAGAGGGAGTGAAGGAAGGGGGGAAGATGTAGAGAAAGAGGGAGGGAAGGGAAGATGGAAAGAGAGAAGGAAGAAAAGAGAGACTGCAGAAGAGAAAAAGGAAGAAGGAAGGAAAGAGGGAGCGAAGGAAGGGGATAAGATGTAGAGAAAGAGGGAGGGAAAGAAAGGAGGAAAGAGAGAAGGAAGAAAAGAGAGACAGCAGAAGAGAAAGAAAAAGGGGGAAGGAAGGAAAGCGATAGAGAAGGAAGGAAGGAGAGAAGGAAAGACGGGAAGGAAGGAAGGAAACAGGGAGTGAAGGAAGGAGGGAAAGAAGGGGAGATAGGGGGAAGGTTGGCCACAGCAACGCGTGGCGGGTACAGCTAGTGGTTTTATATTTTAGGTTGCTGTGCTTTCTATGGAAAATATACAATCTCACCAAAAACGCGTAACTTAAAATAGAAATTATTACCACAGGCTTGTTAATTATAGGTACAGCTAAAACAACATGTCTGTGGATGGAAAAAGGCTCATGTCTAAGTTTTCCTGCTATCTATTTCTGCGGTATATTTTCCCCTATCATTAATAGTAATAGATTGAACTTTTGTTGGAACTTCGATTGTTTGCATTGCAGTTTTGTTTGCCTGTTGCTTGTTTTTTATTTGCCCACAGTTGATGCTGAGTGGGAGAACAGGGCAATTAGAGGGTGTCAATACTATCTTAAACAGGTTTCTTGTATATTTTTCTACTGTGGAGAGAAATGAAGGCCTTTGCTAAGACTGAACAGGTTGAGTCTCCCTTTTCTGAAATGCTTGGGACCAGAGGGTTTCAAATTTGGTGGGATGTTTTTAAATTTTTTTAATATTTCCATTTGCATATTCTAAGGGAAAGGGAGCTAGCTACACATCCAATGTTTGCTGAGTTTCCCCCAGTTTTTTCCCCACTGTCAGATATGTGATTGGGGGGGGGGGGGGGGGGGGGGGGTTCTGGTTCCTTTAACTTCACTTACACAAATAACATGTAAAAAAGAAGGTGTCGGGACAGAGAAAAGTCCAAATCCATCCAGATGCTGTGAGTTTAGGAACTGTTGGAAGGTTTCTTTATTCACAATCACAAAGCCATTTCACATATTTATTTCTTTTTAAGAATGCACATATCAAGTCTTATTGATTTAGATTTCAGTAAGTGAGCTGCTTCCAGTGCCACAGGAGGTTAAACCAACGAGCTGCTGAACTTGCTGACCAAAAGGTTGGTGGTTCGAATCCAGGTAGCATAGTGAGCTCTTGCTGTTAGGCCTAGCTTCTGCCAACCCAGTAGTTGGTAAACATACAAATGTGAGTAGATCAATAGCTACCGTTCTGGCAAGACGGTAATGACACTTCATGCAGTCATGCCTGCCACATGAACTTGGAGGCGTATATGGTCAACACCGACTCTTCAGCTTAGAAATTAAGATGAGCACCACTCCCCAGAGTCAGACACAACTAGACTTAATGTCAAGGGGAACCCTTTACCTTTACTTAATTCAGCATAGTGTAGTGGTTTGAGTTGACTTAAGACCAGGGTTCGAATCCCTGCTTGGTCTTTGAAACCAACTGGGTGAACCTGGGGGCAAGTCCCTCTCTCACCCTTAGAGGAAAGCAAGGACAAACCATCTCCGAACAAATTCTGCCAAGAAAACCCATAGACAGGATTGTGTTAGTGTCACCATAAGTCAGAAATGACTTGAAAGCACACGAGAAAGTTCTTATCAAAAACAGTCATCTCAAGATTATCTTAAAGAGAAATGCTGCTTCTTGATCTGGCATTCTGATGGTTAACTTTATGAAAGTGAGCATGTGGTGGTCCTAATTTAGTCACTGAGGCAAATTTTAATCTTTCTCTTTGTGTTTCTGTTTTCACAGCCGAAGCTGAAGAGCCTGCTATCAGAAAGGGAGGCCAGAAAGTGGTTTACGATGAAAAGAAGGGCACTGTGTACAGCTACTCATTTTTCCACTTTGTGTTCTTCCTAGCTTCTCTTTATGTGATGATGACTGTTACCCACTGGTTCCAGTAAGTAGTCTTCTCAAAAATGAAAGGCTTCTGACATTAAGCTGATGCAGCACAATGGCTTTTTATTACAAGGCAGGATGTTTGCAGTTAACTGTTTCCTCTGACATGCAAACCCAAGAGGCAGCCTTAAACAATTCATGGCTCTTTCAGGCTCTGCTTGCTTCCAAGCAGTTTTTTTCCATGTCAGGAGCAATTTAAACTGCAAGTTGCCTCTGGTGTGAGAGAATTCGCCATCTGCAAGGATGTTGCCTAGGGGACGCCCAGGTGTTTTGCTTTTTTACCATCCTTGTGGGAGACTTCTCTCATGTCCCCGCATGGGGAGCTGGAGCTGACAGAGGGAGCTCATCTGCACTCTCCCTAGATTCGAACCTGCGATCTGTTGGTCTTCAGTCCTGCTGGCAAAAGGGTTTAACCCATTGCGCCACCGAGGTCTCCGTTCAGTAAGGGACTAATAGTACATCTAGACTTTAGAATTAGCGAAACTTGACACCACTTTAATTGCCATGGCTCAATGCTATGTAAACATGGGAGTTGTAGTTTTCCAAGGTTTTTAGCCTTCTCTTCCTAAGAGTGCCAGTCTCAGCAACTAGATGTTCCAACAAGCATTTGAGAATGGCAAGTCCCTGCTTACAAATGCCCAGTCCCTAGCACGCCAGATACTACTCCGTTCTCTGCACTTCTTCCAATCTCCTGGCCCTATACTATGCTGTTTTGTCTGGTCCTCTTTATACCCTGATCATGCCCATTTTAGTATTCTGATTTTTGTTGTGTATTGTTTGAGTGAGTTTTAATGCTGCTGTTTTATACCCTTAAGTTTTATTTAATTGTGTTTTATTTGATTGTTATGCTTTGCTATGTTTTATTTTAATTGTGTTTTTTTTGTTTTAATGGATTGTTCTGTTTTGATGTTCTGAGGACATTTTGTCCTATTATACATACAGCCACTCCGAGGAGATGGAGGCAGGGTATAAAAATAAAGTTTATTATTACTTTACTGACACAAAATCACAGTATATCACAGCAAACCATAGGTAGGTAGGTAGGTAGGTAGGTAGAGATTCTGTAGCCCACTTGTCAATGGATGTCCATAATCGGCAGCATCTACCATGGTCCTTTTTATCCTGGGCATCAACTGAGCCAGTATAGACTTCATTTTGGTTTGTTTCTCCATAGAACTAATGGGTTAGGTGCTCTTAGTTCCACTCCTCAGCTGAGACCTCTCTGACTTGGTTGGACCTGCTGGTAGTTAAACTACCACCAGCACAGCTCTCACATCCTTGGAGCAGTTAAGCCCCCCACCATAATAAACCAATCAAGGGGAAGATGATGTTGATGATGATGATGATTATTATTACATAGCTAAGTAGCGCAGCCCAACCCAGGCCTCCCCTTCAGCATTAGCCAAAGTCAGTGACAGAGGTCTGTTCTCCTGTTTATTAGATGTGGGATACTGGCATTCCTACACTCTTCCAACCACTGTTCTCTGTTATGACAGAAAGGAGCAGGATCCCTGTCACAATTCTTCCTCACACCACAGATTGCTCATGGAAATGGGGTGGAAATATTCATCTTCTGTACCGTGAACAAGAGGAGAACAGACCCCATTTGCTTTTAGCAGCTGATTCCCAGTATGTCAGGGTTAGGGGACTGTCTCCATCCCCAAAGTACTGATAATTATGAATGTAACTCTAGGGTTGTGCATTCATCCTTTGGATTGTGATTTCCAAATAATATTTTATTGCTAATGGTTTCATTAAAATTAACAAATTACTGTAAATGGATGGAGGGTGATATACAGCCCTTAATACTCCCAGAAAAATCAGAATATACACTAACACATCTCATTTTGAGGGCTCCCTGGTGGCACAGCGGGTTAATCCACTGAGCTGCAGGACTTGCTAACTGAAAGCTTGGTGGTTCAAATCTGGGGAGTGGGGTGAGCTCCTGCTGTTAGACCCAGCTTCTGCCAACTTAGCAATTCAAAACCATACAAATGTGAGTAGATCAATAGGTATCACTTCTGTGGGAAGGTAACGGCACTCCATGCAGTTATGCAGGCCACATGACCTTGTAGGCATCTACGGGCAACACTGGCTCTTTGGCTTAGAAATGAAGATGAGCACCACCCCCCAGAGTCAGACTCAATTAGACTTAATGTCAAGGGGAAACCTTTACTTTACCTTTATTTCATTTTGAAAGATAGTCGGCATTGGGCCTGTATGGGAACAACCAGGGAACACTTGGGATGGTATAAGACTAAGAAAGGATCCTGTCACAACCCTTGAAAGCCACTGCCAATTAGAATTAATGATACCAAACACTGTTGGATTAAAGGTTTGAAGCTAATTCCTATTTCCCTCTCAGAGATATTGAGAGAACTGATGTGACAGTACTAAATTTCTAATAAAAACATTTGACATTATTAAACAAATTTACTTTGTAGAGGAGTGAAGGGTAGCCAGTAGAATAATTACGTTTTTCCAATTTAAGGTTCCAGGGAAGAGCCTGATTTCTGACTCCCAGAAATTGACTGAAAGGTCTCCAATATTATCCTCTGTATTTACCTGAGACCAGACCCCAACGAACATTGACATACTTCTGAGAAAAATGAAATTTGAATGTTTTAGCTAGAATGATGAAACATATAGTGGTGTAGAGGAATTGGTAGAAGCATTAGAATAAATCAGCATGGTTTCTGCAAAGCTAAATCCTGCCTCATTATCCTTTTAACATTCTTTGTTAAACAAGGTCTTTTAACAAAGTTTGCATTGACATCTTTCCGGAGTGCTTTTGTTTAGTTTAGGCAGGCAGATAAACTAAATAGCCCTTGTGGTCTCTTCCAGCTCTAAGCATCTATGATTCTATACAACAGTGGCTCTCAACCTTCCTAATGCCGCAACCCCTTAATACAGTTCCTCATGTTGTGGTGACCCCCAACCATAACCCTAACATTATGAATCACCATGTAAATAATGATCTGCAGGATGTATTTTCATTCACTGGAGCAAATTTGGCACAAATACCCGGTATGCCCAAATTTGAATACTGGTGGGGATGGGGGGTTGTCATTTGGGGGGTTGTAGTTGCTGGGATTTATAGTTAACCTACAATCAAAGAGCATTCTGAACTCCACCAACAATGGAATTGAACCAAACTTGGCACACAGAACTTCTTCCACTAAAGGTAAATGTAGTCCCCTGACATTAAGTCCAGTCATGTCTGACTCTGGGGTGTGGTGCTCATCTCCATTTCTAAGCCGAAGAGCCGGCGTTGTCCGTAGACACCTCCAAGGTCATGTGGCCAGCATGACTGCATGGAGCGCCGTTACCTTCCCGCCGGAGCGGTACCTATTGATCTACTCACATTTGCATGTTTTCGAACTGCTAGGTTGGCAGAACAGAACTCCCATGCCAACAGAAAATTCTGGAAGGGTTTGGTGGGCATTGACCTTGAGTTTGGGAGATGAAGTTCGCCTATAGCCAGAGAGCACTCTAGACTCCAACAATGATGGATCTGGACCAAACTTGGCACCAGTACTCAATATGTTCAAATGTGAACACTCGTGGGGTTTTGGGAAAATAGACCTTGAGATTTGGGAGTTGTACTAGCTGGGATTAATAGTTCACCTACAATCAAGGAGCGTTCTAAACCCCAACAATGATAGAATTGGGCCAAACTTCCCACACAGAGACCCCATGACCAAGAGAAAATACTGTGTTTTCTGATGGTCTTTGGCGACCCCTCTGACACCCCTTTGCGACCCCTCCAGGGGTCCCGACCCCCAGGTTGAGAAACACTGCTATACAATCTATTAACATCTATTTGTTTTCACCATTCTAGTTATGAAAGTGCTGCAATCGAAAAATTCTTCGCTGGAACCTGGTCCATATTCTGGATTAAAATGGCTTCCTGTTGGATGTGTGTCCTTCTCTACCTGTGGACTCTTCTAGCTCCTTTCTGCTGCCCAACCAAAGAATACTCCGTGTGAACCTCCTTCTGTTAGGGAATGGAGAAAACAAGTGTAGTAACCACCCTAACATTGATGGTTAGGCTGTTGCTTCCTCTTTTATATAAAATGTATAGGTTTATATGTTTTGGGATTATTTTTTAAACCTTTATTTGTATTATCCAGTTTAAGAGATCCTGATGTGAAAAGAGTCACCTCAGTATGGAACTCAATTATATGAATATTGTTAAATATCCCATAATAGTTAAACATATTTTTAAAAATTATGGACAACTATTTTGTGTTTTTCCCATGAGAGAACCTATTCTATTTTCTTCATTTGGCTCTTGCTGATGCTGTAATTTAATAGTCCTCATTAGCATTGATATCTTGCTTTTCCAGATTTTCCTGACAAACCAAACACTTGTGTAGAACTATATCTTAAAATCTTAAAACTGGAAGGAAAACACCATCATAGGCAGGCATAGCATCAGTTCAAGGGTATTTTTTCTGTATTAGATGCTCATAGTAAATTATTGCAGATGGATTATGGAAGAAAGGTTTATGGTGTAGAGCTATTTATTTATGGTAATAATGAAAGGCACCTTTATGTATCAATGGGTGACATGATGTGGAACCTGAAAATATGACTGGGAAGTGAAACACTGTAAAGATTGGTGCAATTAATGAAGAGCTGTTATGAGCGTCTCTGGGACTAAAATGTATCAAGTTGGACTGATAAGCAACAAAACACGAGTTCTGCCTATGTTAGTAAGTCTGTCTTAGTACATTTAAGAAGCCTCTTTTTTGGAAGGGTTGTTAAATAAATCTGGGATCTACTTGAAATGGTGATTTAACAAATGACCTAAAAGCAGGGTCCAATTATGGCTACGGGAAGAGTAAATTCCAGTATAATGCTGTCTGGGGAAATCCTCTGGAATTGATTTTCCAGAAATGTAAGGGTGGGTGGGGCAGGTTTCACTACCACAGTGTTGGATCTATCACTGATAAAGGAAGTGAACATATGTATTGCAAAGTAACCTTATTCTTAAGAATAATTTGGAATATTCATCTTTTCTCCCGGGTTGGAGTTGGTTGTTGAGTCATTTGGCCCATCACTTCGTAGATTCCAGATTTTGTCCATGAGCATGTTGTGAGATAATTCTTTTAAAGTGCAATTGTAGATAGAGATTATATGAAAAACCCACTGTAAATTTAATGCCTGGGTGGAGGGAACTGCAACTTTGCCTTTCTTACTCCCAATTAGATCTTGCATCTCCTGTGCCTACCAAAGTTTTCATAGGAACTCAATCACAATAAGAACTAAAGCACAATTTTGGAAAGGTTTAAGGCTTACAGGCTCTGGAGTCATAGGGTTATTGTAGGTTTTTCAGGCTCTATGGCCATGTTCTAGAAGTATTCTCTCCTGAAGTTTCGCCTGCATCTATGGCAGGCATCCTCAGAGGTTGTGAGGTCTGTTGGAAACTAGGAAAATTGGGTTTATATATATGTGGAAAGTCCAGGGTAGGAGAAAGAACTCTTGTATGTTGGAGCTGGGGGTGAATGTTTTAATTGGCCACCTTGATTAGTGTTGATGGCCTGACATTTTTTAGTATGGCTTGTTACTGCCTGAGGGAATCCTTTATTGAGAGGTGATTCACTGTCTCTGCTTGTTTCTTGTCTGGAGTTCCCCTGTGCTTAGTATTGTTTTTTATTTACTGTTATAGTTTTAGAGTTTTTTAAATACTGGTAGCCAGATTTGGTTCATTTTCATGGTTTTTTTTATCCACATGCTTGTGGATTTCAATGGCTTCTCTGTGTAGTCTGATATGGTAGTTGTTAGATTGGTCCAGCATTTTTGTGTTCTCAAATAAAATGCTGTGTCCAGGTTGGTTCATCAGGTGCTCTGCTATGGCTGACTTCTCTGGTTGAAGTAGTCTGCAGTGCCTTTCATGTTCCTTGATTTGTGTTTGGGCAATGCTGCGTTTGGTGGTCCCTATGTAGACTTGTCCACAGCTGCATGGTATACAGTAGACTCCTACAGAAGCGAGAGGATCTCTCTTGTCCTTTGCTGAATGTAGCGTTTGTTGGATTTTCTAATGCTAATCAAGGTGGCCAATTGAAACAATCACACCTAGCTCCAACAGACAAGAGTTCTTTCTCCCACCCTGGACTTTCCACAGATATATAAACCCAATTTTCCTAGTTCCAACAGACCTCACAAGCTCTGAGGATGCCTGCCATAGATGCAGGCAAAACATCAGGAGTAAATGCTGCTAGAACATAGCCATACAGCCTGAAAAACCTACAACAACCCAATGATTCTGAACATAAAAGCCTTCGACAACACTCTGGAGTCATAATCCAGAAATAACGAGTCATTTCTTTTTTGAAACGTTGGATTAAAACTAATGTTTGAAAAACTGCCTTCTATATTTGAATAATGTTGGAAGAGAATACACATAAATATTGAAGTCATGGTAAGGCTGCAGTTCCAGGCACACTCACCTGAAAGTAAGGCTTTCAAGACAGGACTGAACTGTAAACAATGTTAATTGTTGATTTGGAGGAAAGCATGCTTCAGATATTAGCATTCAGCTTATTTGCTAGGTCAATGCCTTCATTTTGGCGCAATGTTTACTGCATGGCATTCTTTCAGCTCAGAAGAAGTGGCTGGCAATCATTCAGTGTTGATGTTCTACTGAGAGCAAAGTTAGCTGTGGTGTCTAGATTCCCATTTTTCATTAAAAATAGGCCAAACTAGAGTGATAGTTTATAGGTGTGTTACTAGGAGTGGTGTTCCCTTCCTGTGTGATGGTGCTCTCATGCTTGGGTTGTTACGTATTGTGCTATTTGCAGCAGGAGCTTTCATTTAGTATGTCTTGCTAATTAGAAATGGCAGCCACCTGTTGGTGTGAGCAGAAGTCCAGCATCCAAATCAAGGAAGAATGTTTTGGTTTCTCCTCTAACGATGCTAGAACTAACATACAGTATCCTCTTTGCTGTTTTATCTTACTCAGTTTATTTATTTACTTAATACGATTGTTCCCTCTCCACAATGACTTCTGCAGAGTTTGATGGAGCCTAAGTTGTACTTATTAATGCTAATAGTCAGACTTAAAGGAGTAGTGCCACCTTAAGCAGCTCAGTATGAGAAACTGAACAATTCGAGTTAATAAGGGTGTTAGGCAGAACCCCCGGAGGCACAGTGGGTTAAATCGCTGAGCTGCTAAACTCATTGACCGAAAGGTTGCAGGTTCGATTCCGGGGAGCGGCATGGGCTTCCGCTGTTAGCCACAACTTCTGCAAACCTAGCAGTTCAAAAACATGCAAATGTGACTAGATCAATAGGTACGAAGAGCCATCAGTACTTCTTCTTCCCTTTTGGTCACAGGGTATTTTCTGATCTTTTTTTTAATGAGGTCATAAAATATCTCCTTCGCTTGTTTTAGCAATACCTAATTTCTCTACTTACAGCTCAAGCTGTTTTTGAACTGCTTAGGTCAACAGTAAACTGGGCTGACAGTCAGGAGCTCATGCCAACCCGGGGCTTCAAACTGGCAACCTTTCAGTTGGTAGATCTTATAATTGCTGGTGATTTACCAGCTGTGCTAAAGCCCTACCAGCTGTTAGGAATTGGGGGAGTCAAAGTCCAAAACATCTGGAGGGCCGAAATTTTCCCATGCCTGCTGTAACTGCATATTTGTCAATATATGCTGCACCACGCAAGCCTTTTCTACTTCGTGCTGCCTAAATCAACTTTTAGGTGTTGAACTACTAGGTTCCTATGAAATTCTAGCTCTCCTTAGTTCCTTAATGTTAAATGTTCTTGAAAACTTTAATCTCTGAAACACTTGGAAGTATATACACCTCTGAAGAACTTGAAAGCTTTTTGAATAGGGCAGCATCTTGCCTTTTTGAGTGTGCTTACAAAGGGAGCCGGCATAAGCTCAGGAAGGGGAATGGTGCTACTATTTAAAAGTGACCTTTATCGTTTCTAGTTCTTGCTTGAATTGTTCCCTGGAGACTTTTCTTGCCTTTGTATTCTGGTGTTTTTGGAGAGAAAGAAGTGAATCCTTGATTGCAGTGGATTGTAACTGGAAGTGTTGGGAGAGAGATCAAATGCTGGTGCTCGGTTATGACCCTGCCAAAAGGAATCCCAGGGAATCTTTTAAAGTGTTTTTTAAACTACTGATCCCTTTCCTTTCTTAGTAATATATATGTTAGATTTTTTAAATCTAAAGATCAGAATTCTTAAATATAAATGCCTTCTGCATATAATGCGCATAGATATTTTTTATTGTGTGATAAATAAGGATCAGTATGTTTACTTATTCATGTTGCCACATGGCTTTTAAAAGTCGTAAATTCCGCTGTCTTTACTGACAGATGTGGCCCATAATGTGATACACTCTCTCCTACATCTGGCTAGTTAAGTGCTCTGTCAAACACATGGAAATTTATAAGAGTCTTACAACTGCCTTCTCTGCCCCCTAAAGCCAGTTGAAGTGTGTTAACTGCTGTCGTCCATAAGCCATTTAAAGAAGACATCTCAAACTTGTGCATTGTTAAGGTTTAGTCCAGTGGTTCTCAACCTTCCTAATGCCGCCACCCTTTAATACAGTTCCTCATGTTGTGACCCTGAACCATAACATTATTTTTAATTAAATTATAATTACCAGACACATCCAAATTTGAATACTGGTGGGGTTGGGTTGATTGATTTTGCCATTTGGGAGTTGTAGTTGCTGGAATTTATAGTTAACCTACAATCAAAGAGCATTCTGAACTCCACCAATGATGGAATTGGACCAAACTTGGCACACAGAACTCCCATGACCATCAGAAAATATTGGAAGGTTTTGGTGGGCATTAATCTTGAGTTTTGAAGTTGTAGTTCACCTACATCCAGAGAGCACTGTGGATCTGGACCAAACTTGTCAGAAATACTCAATATGCCTGAAGAGAGGCCATTCAATCACAGCAAAAGGAGGGCTTTTGGTGGGAGGATCCGCCGTCTGTTTCCAAAAAGGAAGAGAATGTCAGATGGAGAAATCTCCAGCTTCTCTGCCAAAAGGTTCCTAAAACCATCAGAAATATATGTTTTCTGATGATCTTTTGAAACCTCCTGGCAACATCCCCAGGGGTCCTGACCCCAGGTTGAGAAACACTAGTTTAGACCTTTACATCATTAGAATGTCTACTTTCAGAACAATTGTTTAGCCGAGGATTTGGAGCGTAGCAACATAACTGTTGTCTCTTTTGCCAAAGAATTCTCTAACAAAGCAAGAAAATAATGGAAATATATGAGATATCTGTGTACGATAGCAATTAAACCTTATTTTTATTCTACTCCACATAATGTAAACTACAAAATGTTTATTGGCAATGTCTGAGACAATAATGTAAACAAAGTGTGGAGCCCAGCTTTTCGGGATGTTCCCCTGCACATGCCCTATTGAATTGGATGGCAATTGTCCAAGAGCTCCGAGCTCATTCCGTTCCCATTCATTTCAGTTGGGTTCGCAGCCTCAATCCTTCTGATAGAGTTGTTGCTGTGGTCTCCCAAAAAGCAGCCCTTTTTCTCTCTTCAGATACTGTGTCAATCTTTCATACGTTGACAGCATGAATAATACTTCCTTTTCTATTTTTCTTTACAGTGTTTTTCACATCTGTTTTAGAGAATTAATACACAATAGAATGGTCGACATAAATAGTTTTTTTAAGTATGTTCATTTTTTAAAAAAGACAAAACTTTTGATACACAATTTGGTATTTTATAAGCTTATGGGTGGATTTTTTCTGATTTGTAGCTGAAACAGGTTTCAGTTTTAAGTCTTACAGCTAGTAGTGAATTTAAAGCTATATATGTATTGTGCAGGCCTGGGCCAACTTGGGCCCTCCAGGTGTTTTGGACTTCAACTCCCACAATTCCTAACAGCCTCGGCCCCCTTCATTTTACCCCTCAGCCGCTTAAAGGAAAAATAAAGGGCCTGAGGCTGTTAGGCATTGTGGGAGGTGAAGTCCAAAACACTTGGAGGGCCCAAGTTTGCACAGGCCTGGTTTGTGTGTATGTGTATTTTCAGTTGAAATTTTGAGATAAATTTACATTAACAAGCAGTGTATGTTTTCAATGCCTTCTTTTCTAAGAATAATTGCATATTGAGAAAGTATTATAGATGTCATTGTTTAACCAACCAATAAATTTGTTTGTTTGAAACTACACTTGTTCATTATTGATGCATTTATGTCACCACTTAAATAACATGGGAGCACCTCTCCCATGAGCCATTGCAGGCATCGCCAGTGGGGTGGAATGGCGGGAGTCATTGTCCAACCTGCAATATTCCCACATTTAATCAATTTTTCCATGTCAGGGAAAATTGGCCATCTGCAAGGACGTTGCCCAGAGGATACTGGATGTTTTACCATCCTGTGGGATGCTTCTCTCATGTCCCCACATGAGAAGCTGGAGCTGATAGACAGGAGCTCACCCTGCTCCCCGGATTCGAACCACCGACCTTTCAGTCAGCAGTCCTGCCAGCACAAAGGTTTAGCCCATTGCATCATCGAGGGCTCCTGATTTAATCAAATGTTTAGCTTACAAGATTCATACCATTTGGCTTTAGAACAACATTTTCATTGTTGCAAGGAGCAAGAATCACAACAAACAAGGGAGGTGTCATTCAATGGGAAATAATTTTCATAAAGGACTAGAAAACAGGAACAGCACATCCAAGATTTCTAAAAGATGAAATGTAGGAAAACAAGAGGCACAGACATTAGTGGACTGCTTTTCTGATCATGCAACTACAAATCCTGAAAAATGGTTTTTTAACTTCTTGACTGAAAACAGCAACAACTTTTCTAAGGTCCTCAGAGATGTCTTCTGATCATTGCGTGTTTTCATTCAATTGTATGTTGAAGCCAAGCCCTGACCCTTTTCTACAATGGGGCCTCCCGAATTCACTGATCCAATTATTTAAGTGCCTGATTCTAATTATTCCCTTTAACTGAAGTCATGAAACCAAGGGTTCACTTAGCTTTGCACCCACCTTGACCCTGATGTACTCATTGTTTGCTAATTTATACATTGTTTTATTTCAGAATTGGTTAATATAAACCTTATTGGATATTCAGAAAAGGTCTGGGTTTTATTCACGGAGGCTGTCATGTTAAAACTATGAATTTTCTGGCATTATTGTTAGGATTCGCAAACTTTTCCTTCCCGTAGTAGTTGTTCCATATTGTGTGTTTGTATATGGAGTGCATTTATTTGTTCACATGATTTCTCCTCCTCTTCCTTGTTATCGTGTTTGCTTATATCCTACCCTTTTTCTGGCCCCCTGGTGGTGCAGCAGGTTAAACTACTGAGCTGAATTTGCTGACCAAAAAGTTGGCGGTTCAAATCCAGGAAGCAAGGTAAGTTCCGACTGTTAGATCCAGCTTCTGCCAACATAGCAGTTTGAAAGCATGCAAATGTGAGTACATCAATAGGTACTGCCTATAGGTAACGGAGCTCTATGCAGTTATGCTGGTCACATGATCTTGGAGGTGTCTATGGGCAACGCCGGCTCTTCAGCTTAGAAATGGAGATGAGTACCACCACCCCAGAGTCAGACACGGCTGGACTTTATGTTAGGGAAAAACCTTTACCTTTACCCTTTTCCTAAGTCGTGGGGTATGTCTACATGGGCAAGAAAGCCCAGACTCACCTCAAAGTGACTTCTGGCTGTTCCCACACATTTGCCGAAGCATGGATTTAACAGATCTGTGCCAGTTTTGCCCTGCTTTGCACAAAGTTGGAGTGTGAGCACCCCATAACCTACCCTGCTAGGCACAGATGGCCTTGATAAGCTGGAGGCTCGCTGTACCCTCTCCTGCCTCATTGGCGTCAGCACTAGCCTTGTACATGGTGAATTTGGGACAAAGAATTCCTACTGATATAAACTAGACAAAAGTAGGGCACAGGGCAGACGGTACAAACCATGATGTGAAATTTCCTGATTGTCTTGTAACCAATTGAACTTAATGATTGATATCCCAAAAGGGTGGCACTATACAAGCAAATGTACTGTTACTGCTTGGGGTTTCTCTGTTTTGGGGATACCACTGGAGCTCCAGTTCTCTATATTTCTATCTCGTTTTAGCTTTTCAAAACAAATGCCTGGTTACTTTGCTAGCAGTGTGTCTAAAGCTATACCTTTGAAGAGATTGGGGTGGCAGGATAACACTCCAGAGTTGGCTTTGGGGTAATATGGACAATGGGATTCCATCGGCTCAGATCAGTCCATTGTCTGGGCAGAATAATGGTGCCATCACTGCTCCCAGTGACGTTCGGAAAGTAGATGGATCATGCCCAGGTTGCTGCTGTGCCCACTCCAAGCAGCCATAGTGATAAGGATAGTTGGAATTATGGAAAATCCATCCTTGAATTGAACAGATCAAAATACTTTAATCAAAAGCTGTCCCAATTAAATGCAAACTATAGTATAAAAAAGAACTTCACAGTGAATCTCAGGATCTGGACAGGCTTATATCTGGAGATTACATTCCATCACCTTGGACCTAGGAGCCGACAGTGGGTTAAACCCCTGTGCCGACAGGTCACAGGTTCGAATCCGGGGAGAGGCGGATGAGCTCCCCCTATCAGCAGGCATGTAGCCGGGGGGGGGGGGGGCCTCGGGGGGCTTCACCCCCCCCTCCGAAATTCTCATGGTGGTTCGCGAAAAGGCCTTACTGGTGCATTATTTAAACTGTTATGTTTATTCATATCATGATCTGATCACCATACTCAATATATCCCATATGCATGGGGGTATTGGGGTAATGATACAAAAGGTTTGCTAGGCTAGACCCTCTTTCACTCATACTCAGCCCCCCCCCGCCCCCCCCCCCCCCTGAATTAGCCCCCCCCATCCCGGGAGAGATGGATGAGCTCCCTCTATTGGCTCCAGCTCCTCATGCGGGGACATGAGAGAAGCCTCCCACAAGGATGATAAAACAAAAAATCATCCGGGCGTCCCCTGGACAACGTCCTTGCAGACGGCCAATTCTCTCACACCAGAAGCGACTTGCAGTTTCTCAGGTTGCTCCTGACACTACAAACAAACAAACCTTGGACCTAAGCCATAAAGGACTTCCATTTGGTTT